ATTCCTTTGGTCACCAGGAGGAAACCTCGCAAGGTTAATTACTCGGAATGACGCAATTTGAACGCATTGTGCTTTCTTAATCAAAGATCCTTGTCGAGTGACAAATTGTTGTCAACCACAACGCCACAAGTATCAAAGTAACTAATGTCCCACCGATGCTCTGCGTTGGAAGTGAACTAGAAAGATATGTATGCATTTCTGACTCTGGAAGACTTAACTTATCACTATTTGTTCATCCGTTTACCTACAGTATTTCTGCACACCATGCAAGCCGCTACCCTACCTTTGTTCACTCTTATCCACAACTTGATCTGATCAAGGTCAAGAAAGTCGTTTTTACCTGCAAAGTTCAAGAGCTGACCTATGGTGGATAAACAGATTGAATTTCCGGGGGCTTGCGGCCTGATTAGCTGTCTGAGTGGAGTAGTTCTTATACACGAGTCGACCCAGCAACTAATCAAATGTGACATCCAACTGAAGACTTCTGTCAGCGGTTATGCCGTCCGCATTGGAATTCATTAATCCCTCCCAGTTTTCGAGGTCGTAAATATCGAATACACGCCACAGTATGCACTCTTGCCTACACTTTCATTGCGTAAGCGGTCGTGGTCTCTATGTTGCGACTAACTTCCTACGTAGCGATTGGAAAGAATATGAAAGTCTATTTTAATGCCACTTTGCTGGCTTAGGATATCCAATTTGCGCATGTAACGTTTTGCGCTTTACTGAAGATCGAGCTATACCATCCAAGGGATACCGCGATAGCCCTGTGGAGAAAATCATTGCGGTTTATTTACTAATTGCCTTCGAAAATAGCAGGCGCCTTTGCAAACATTACGTTCACAAGCCTGTCGATCACGTCTGCAGGCCTACTGCCCGGCCCACAATGAGCGTACTTTTCCACACTGACCTTCCAGACTCTCAGTTCGATCTACAATAGCTAGTCACCTGATAGATCAGGATTATCTGTAATTTTTTGCCACACATAACCTCTGTATTCCCATAAACTCATGTCGATTCACTTCGCGGAATTTCGCTAAGATCTGGCGTCTTTGGAAGCAGGTTTTGAACGAGGCATCAACAAATATCGTTGCAGCCAATTCGCTAGTGAGGACCGAAGGACGTTCACCCCCAGAATACGGATCTGCACTGCCATGGCGGATGGGCTTTTGTATCATTTCTCCTTATATTGAAATACCGGAGCTCATATAATCCTGTCGGCTCTTCTTTTCAATAGGTTTATCCAGAGGCTTCGGTTTTATCGAATTCGCTTCCGTCGAGGAAGCAAGGCAGTGGATGGAGATCCAAAAAGTAAACCGTCGTTCCGGCCTGAAATCAGGTTTCCCTAGATGTGAATTCATTTCATGCATCTTTATGGAGTAATGCCTTTGGCTATGGTTCCGGTCAGGAAAACTGAGATCGTTCTCTGCTTACACAACCCTGTTTTATTTTAGGAGGTCTTACGTGTTCGTCGAAATGACCTGCGTCTGATGTTCAGTTCTCCAAGGTACCCACCTGAAATGGGTAGGAATTTAGACGCTCCCCCCAGTGGAAGGCCAGTAATACCTGCACTCTCAAGCAGATTCGGCCCACCGAATGACGTGAGCACCGGCGACTGGATTTGCTCCAGGGTGGGTGTCAACTTCTGCATCATGTACTGGTGTTTTGGCGCTCTGGTTTCGAGCGTCCCTCCTAGTCCACCGGCCCTCCAGCCTGTCTATTCCTTTGCCTCGTGATTATGTGCATCCAGATGTTTGATTTGTGCTAACGGGCTCGCACCCCAATTGATTGGTATCACTTTAGTGCTCAAGCCACAACTTCAGACGCCGCGACCAGTGCTATCGCTGTCAGTTACCACGATCGCAGAGTCAGACTGTGGCTAATTCATCTGACGGGTCCGACCTTATTGGAGCCACACCCTGCAACAGTAAGTAAAATGATTCTTTCCATCAACTTATGTTTTACATTAATATTTCGTGTCGGCTAATAAGGTCTTAAAGTTTGCAGTGTCCTTTTATCTAGGCGCTAATCCATTTATATGCCGTTCCGATTTACTATATGTG